CGCACCGGCCCGTTCGTAGAATCCTACCCTACCCACGCCTGTGCATTGTGAACTTGACTACTACGATGTTATTATCAGCTTCCCACATGGAATAACATAGAGATAGAATGAAAGGAATAATAAAGCTTCAAACATCAGTCAGAGAACCTACCCTTTCTCCAGCATATTGATCTAACTTCTCAGCTACAACCAAATTGTGCTCATCGTTGATGCGGAAGATGGTGTGATTCGCGTCCAGGTGGACCGACTGCTTCCCACCTGATAATAACAAAAGTAGTGATGAAAACACGCTTTTTGAAGAAGAATTCTTGCTTTATGACTTTCACAATATGAAATCTGAGATGAAAGAAAGTGATGTAACAGTACAAAATACTGCAAAGCAGCGGAGTGTGTTTGAATGTTGTTATTACCTTCATCAGCATCGCTGACACTCAGCACCGTAATTGTGGTGCCGACAGGGGTGTTTTCGGATACGCTGAGACGACTGAGATCAGAGTTGTGAACTACAGGTGGATTATCGTTTACATCCCGAACAAGTACGGTTACCTGAATTGCTAATGTTATTCTTCTAGAAATATGCAAGCACTTACAAAAAAAAACTCCGAAAGGTGCGATTAGTCTTAAAGGCAAACCCCGGGATTAGCCCGACTAGTAGGAGGGATACCACGAGGGAAATTGTAAGGTCCGTACCTACCTAGATCACTCCAGCTTCGTCGCAAAATTGCGCGGTTAGGGCGCTAATCCTTACGGGCCTGCAACCATCGACCCCGTTGCAACGCTTCCCACCTCGATATCGGCGTGCTCTCTCGAACGGCGTGATCTCTCGCGTGTTTTGTCTTCTTTGACCGCCCTGCCTCGCCATCGTACCACATCCGACCTTTTGAAGGTTAAGGCCTTAATTTCAGCGTTCCCAAAGATTTCTCTTGCTTTCCTTTCCACTTTCAGGTCGTTCCGCAGCTAAGCTATCACTACGAAGCGCTCTAGCACCAGTTTAATCCCGGGGTTTGCCTTTGAAGCGAGAGAATGCGATAACGTGAGTGCAAGCATGGAAGTATATGCACCATTGGAAGCAGTAGACAGGGGCCTAAGGTGACTTCGGTAAGCCAAAGGCGTTACTATTCATGCGCTGCGCTGAGGCTGTAAAATCTTTATCTTGCGCAGCGCGCCGGCGATCTGCCAGCCTGTGCGTCGCCAACGGCGGATCTGTTGTTAGTATGAGTTCTTATCATGTGAATGAGTATTTCATTTTGAGTGTGTCTCTTATAACTTTCCATACCCCAAACCACCTGACCTTATGGTTAGTTGTTGCTAACTCATCCATTGTCAGAGGTCAACGAGGCAAAGGAAGAGTTTTTTTTGCGCGTTCATTTTGACGTGATTCTGTGTTTTTTCCAACGTGGAGGCCATTATTCAGTATCATCCACTTTCAGTAACCACCAATCTGTATCGTAATTCTTCGCTTGAATGAACAGCAGAAAGAAATGGCAGGACGGTCCCGCAAAAAGGGAGTCACTCCAGAAGCGCGGTCGCGTCTATCGTTAATACATTTTCAAAAAATTCCTTACTTTCCGACACCTCTCGACCACCTCGAACCCCATCATCAGCCTACTCCTTATTTCCACCAGTATATTCACCCTACTTTTACTATCTTTACTATCTATTTTATTCTATATTCCAAACCTCATTTCCAGAGGGGTGGGGATCAGGGGGGGGGGCAAAAAAAGAGTCACTTCTCTCCACATTCAAAACGCAATTAATCTCGAACTGCGTAACCAAATCAAATGAGCCCAATTGCATATTAAAGAGCACATTTAAGTCTATCAAGAGGTCACATGACAGCCTTCTACACTGACGAACATCAGAAGATTTTCCCACGAAAATGTGAAGGTTTGAACGGTACGGACGTCGTCGAGGTACCATAGACCATTACGACGTCCCTGAAACGCCGGTCAAAAGCGGTCTTGCACAGTCACAGCTAGTGTCTCTGGGAAGCTATTCACCGCTTAACCGATTGAAGAAATTAGGTTGCAGCTTCAGGCCGGAGCGATTACGGTAAGCCCCGTTGAGCTTGACGGCGACGGCAGATGACGTCATATTCTGAAGACCGTGAGGGCATTGAAGTAGGGGCTGCTTCTGCTTATGGGGACACCTAAGGAATATTCTGCCGTAAAACATTCATTAGCTGCGGCATTCTGTGCGAAGAAAAATTTGATGATGTGCGCCATAGGCAAAGTGACTCTTTCGCCCGCCCCCTGTATACGAGTCTGACACGGCGAATCTTCTCTCCCATGCGCTCCCCAACTAACCCAAGCCTTTACTGCTCTGAAAGCTCAGCTTTCACCCACAACTCCATCGTAATTTTCTCGAACTGTAGCCGGCCGACCCCTCTATAAACTACAGGTAGACCCCCTTGAAGTTACTAGTAATAACGGCGGGTAGGGTCGTAAACCAACTTGTTGGTTTATAAGAGGGAGGGGGTTCGTATTCAGACGATCAGCGCATAGGGTTGACCTATGTCTCCAGAGTCCTTTCCTAGGACTTTCTAAAGTACTCCTCATCCCATCGTCTAAAAAGTGCTGTCTTGCACGAAACAATCGACGACCCGAATAATTTTTTCTATCCAGCAGTTCTCGTAGAATAATGAGACAACTGCGCGCCCCCCGCAGCATACCAAGAGCACCTTCTTACACGTTTTACATCTCGATTCCTTAGGCGGCAAGCTATTGCTTCGTGTTGGCTGCTATTACTTCCCTGAGCGCTCCTTCATTCATGAATATTCTCTTTTTTTGACCAGTGTCGGCAGATTAGAAGGAAACAGAAAAAGAAGATTTACCGACGCAAAAACTTCGTGAACGGCTCTCTCTCCGGCGTTGTCTATACAGCGAACCGTCAAGGAATGGGATCGCTGAGTTTCGTAGTCCAATTTTGATGTTAATGAGATCTCGGATGAGCTGAAATGGGAATACTCGGTCAAAAGTGCTTTGGATACAAAGTTATTCTATGCCGGAATATTTCATACCTTCTGTTAATTTTGAAGTTTCCATCATCGCCAACCAGCGCATAAAGCAAGCGAGAGAATGCTCCCTGGTCTCCGTCTCTGGCCAGCGGATACGGTAACTCCAGAACAGTTCCAATTTCAGCAGACTCTCGATTTTTGAGTTGTGAAGACTGATCCATTCACGAATACTGGCCTAATAGATGCGAATATGACGCGATATGGGGAAAGGAAAACTAAAGACAGTGAACACAATTACTGGAAGGCGGGGCGTTTTTTATGACCTCATTGAGGGTTGTTGGTGGCTTCAGCTTCTTCAGCGCTGAGGGGTCTAATCCACCAATGACGTCCATTGGCATTCAATCACAACGCCTCACTTTAGCTTATGGCGGCCATTATGACACTGCTTTTTGAAACAAATTTAACTCGGGAACAGTTGTCAGGTTGAGGTTAGGGGTGGAGTTATCAGTAGAAACAGTGTTAAGAGGCAGTACCTGTTATCGTTAGCATCAGTGAGAAGAATTGTAAAGTTAGTGCTCGCGTTGTTTCCGTCCTTATCCGTTGCAATAACTCGGCCCTCCAACTTTCGATAACTCTCAAAGTCGAGCCTATCCTTATTCTTTATGAAGCCTTCGTCGTCAATCTCGAGAAGATCTGTCGGTCCCGAATCGACCTCTAGAGAATACCTGAAAGCTGGGAACACTGAGAGGGAGTTGTACAAAGGATAAGACTTAGCACACGAACCACAGGCAAGCAAGACTTAGGCATTCCTTCTTCAACTCACTTCAAGGGACTATCTCCGTCAACGTCCGCTTTCACTTGGAGCAATCGCGACCCTACCCGTGAGTCTTCAGATACGACAGCTTTGAAGCTTTTCTTATTGAAGAATGGCGCCGAGTCGGAGGTGTCCACCACGTTGATGATGAGCTCCACTAAACACAATGTGACACATTAGTAAATCACCCAGCTTGAGAGCAATCACAGTCAGAAATCATCCAGTTTTCACCAAGTTTCCTCATATGTGGGTAACAAAACCTTAAAGGAATCCCTTGAACGCGTAGCAGCCTTTCGATTTTTCGAATTTCTACCAAAACGAAAGCAATACTTCTGTTCTTTTCATTCTTATCGTGGATAATGAGTCTCAAGCCAGTGATTTATGGCTGAAATAGAATCATGATTTTTCCGTGAAGGATTCCTTTAAGGCAAACATTCAAGAAATTTGGACTGCGCGAAATTTTTACATTGGATTTTTCACACGATCACCCCACTGTGTCGCCCATATAATCCTTGATTCCTAAGGAAGGTGCAATACTTGGCACGTCTCGACAAACGATTCACCAAAATGAAACGATTTTTTCTGATATAATTATTAGACTCAGTGATTAGAGTAATTTATCACATTTGTTTTCTAGCCACCGTCTTCAAGGCATGGCGGAACTAGACTTCCAGTGAACAGCCCACTTTTGCTGAGCCGCTCTAGGAAACCCACCAAAGAAGTGAAAAAATTGTCTGAAGGATAAAGAAATAAAGCATTTGCCGTTGATCAATCCCTTTTTGGGATGCGGCACGCATTCTACTTCCATTTGTACATTCGTAGTGGCGTTTGAATGCGATGTGGCCTATACAATGACTTGCGGGGGCCAGCCGATGTACAAGTCAGTGTTTTTATCCTCCCAGACAAGTCTGGTACCAATTAACCGACCCCGACCGCTCTGGGTGAATATCGGTCTTATGTTACCGCCCGACGGAGGCACGATCCAATTCGCTTCCCAGACCCCCGCTGGCGCGTGTAAGCTGTGCCAACCACGCAACTACAGGACCTTTCCACCCTGGGGACCTCGAACTCTCATTTAAATTGATACATTGCCATTTCGGAGTTCTCAAATTTCTTCCGTTTTATCGATGGATCTTTTTTCTTCCATCTTCAAAAAATCTTCCACATAAGTTGGACTATAGCCGCACTTCTTGGAAAATACTCCCACCCCTTTACTGGTATTTGTGAAGAGCTGTCAGCAGAACGTAGCTTCGTTTCTGTGATTCCATGCATTTGCCATGGGAACTCGTAGGGAAACCTATCTAGGGAGAAGACGGTCGGCCCCTCTAAGGGTCACCGACACGCAGCTCGCAGAAAAGACATTCAAATTTGATGAACTAGCACGGAGACGCTCAAGCGCCCCTATCGCCGCTAATCCCACCTCCACTTTCTCATGGTTCTAGCCGCCTAGCAGAAATAGATACCGATCGCTTTGATGGGGTCACATTGATGAGCCACGCATAAAGCGCAAGTCAACGAGCAAAAGGGAGCCCACTTCACGGGTTTTATGTTTTTTCTCGGTTTTCATAAACCCTCGCCACTAACACGCCTTCTCTTTGATATGTAATGGGCAGTCTTTTCATTGCAAACTCTGACTTTGATCTGCGCTTCGTGAATTGATGTCCAATGAACACGAACCCTTTCAGTCGCGTTGAAAACTCGGTTTCCTATAACGCTTTTAATTCAATGTTTTTCAGACTAATAATTTTCCGCAAGAATTCGAACATAGAACCTATTTTTAAATAGTGACGCAGTTCAAGCAATGGAATTTGATAAGTTGAAATGTAATCTGCAGTCATTATCTCTCTCTGCATTGAATATCGTACATCTCATGAACGCACTTGGAAACAGGAATCACAAATTTCTACCTGGCACTTCTCGTTTCCCTTTTTTTCAAATACGATGTAGAGTCGAATACTGTTTTCACCTTTCAAACGGTAAACCGGATGTTTCTCGTATGGAATCGCTCTCGTGGTGTTCCGTCTATCTCTAGCCAATCTTTCACTTCGTCATCCTAAAAGGTGGCTCTACAGCGATATGTACACACAAGCACCGTAGGAACCGGCATCAACTCACTGGAAATCCATCCGACGTAGCGCTTACAATCTCCGTAGGTGTAGCCTTCCATATCAGCATTTGGCCAAACTATCTCCCGCCTGAAATAATCTTGTGAAGGATTTCGTGAAGCTCTTTCCTAGCAGTAATATCAGCTGGTAAGAGATGTCATACACCTACAAAGCTTAGAAGTAACCCCTCTAGAAAAAATTCCTTGGCAATTGTTCACCATTCTCCGCTATAAGTCATCCTCATTCTGGATATTTGCGAAGTTTCCAACAGTAATGGCGTCAACGGCAATTATGGCGCAGCAGTGAGATTGAACCAAGGCTGTTCAGGGTGCGATCACATAGCGGTAACCTAAAAATATCCTACTTACTATAAAGCGCTTCGTCTGTCGTTCTGTATGTCTGTCACGAAATTCCCTAGCTCCTCGGGATCCGCCTGGAGGGACCGGGTCAAGTGTGGATGGGTGGGCAGGGTCTCACGTAATACAAAACACACATCAGCTAAGCGGAGCCCCGCCCACAGAGGGCGTGGCGTGCGTCGAAATGAATTGTACCAAAGACCAAGATTTCGATTTCAGTGACAAAACGACCTCGAAACTGGGCCAAAAAGTGGGTAAGGTGTGCATTGGTAAGTCACATCGAATTAGGGAGACCCACCCCCGGTGGGCGGGGCGTTCTCTAAAAAAGCAGTGCTTTATGAAAAATTTCATAACTCGGTTGGGAGAAAGCCTACAGAGCAGAAAACAATTGGTGTAAGGGAGCAATGTCTAAGGTGTTTCCCGCATACACATGACGTGGGCGGAGGCCTGCCCAGAATGGGCGGGGCGCGCTCTGAAGTGTACAGCATTTTCTACAAGCCCTCATAATTCGGGTCGGGGAAGTCCTAAAGAGCCGGAAAAAGGTGGATAGAGGTGTATGGAGGAGTGGAGGCCAGCTATCAATGGTGGGCGGGGCTTGACCAAAGTGGGCGGAGTTTGCGACGAAAATTTATAACTCGGCTCCATGAAGCTCCGGAGGCTGGGGAAAAGGTGGATAGAGGTGGGTGGAGGAGTGGAGGTTAATTGTCATTGGTGGGCGGGGCCTGACCAAAGTGGGCGGAGTTTGCGACGAAAATTTATAACTCGGCTCCATGAAGCTCCGGAGGCTGGGGAAAAGGTGGATAGAGGTGGGTGGAGGAGTGGAGGTTAATTGTCATTGGTGGGCGGGGCCTGACCAAAGTGGGCGGAGTTTGCGACGAAAATATAAAACTCGGCTCCAAGAAGTCCCGGAGGCTGGGGAAAAGGTGGATGGAGGTGGGTGGGGGAAGTGGAGGCCAGCTGTCATCGGTGGGCGGAGCTTGACCAAAGTGGGTGGAGTTTGCGACGAAAATTCAGAACTCTGTTCCAGAAGGTCCCGGAGAGTGGGGAAAAAAGAAGATATAGTTGGGTGGGAAAGTGGAGGTCAAAGGCCAGTGGTAGGCGGGGCTTGGCCAAAGTGGGCGGAGTTTGCGACGAAAATTCATGACTTGGCTCCAAGAAGTCCCTGAGGCCGCGGAAAAGGTGGATGGAGGTGGGTGGAGGAGTGGAGGCCAGCTGTCAATGGTGGGAGGGACATGACCAAAGTGGGCGGAGTTTGCGACGAAAATTCATAACTCGGCCCCAAGAAGTCCAGGAGGCTGGGAAAAAGGGAGTAGAGGTCGGCGAAGGAAAGGAGGTCAAATGCTATTAGTGGGTAGAGCACGCACCCAAGTGGGCGGAGTTTGCCAAAAGTATCGCAATTCGGTTGCAAGAGGTCCTAGAGATAGGGGAAAACGGGGTTAGAGGTTGGTGAGGGAAAAGAGCTCAACTGCTATCACTGGGTAGAGCACGCACCTAAGTGGGCGGAGTTTGCCAAAAGTGTCGTAATTTGGTTCCAAGAGGTCCCAGAGACCGGTGAAAAAGGGGGTAGAGGTCGGCGAAAAGAAGGGAGCCAAATGCTATTGGTCGGCAGGGCACGCACCGAAGTAGACGGAGTTCGCCACGAGATTTATTGTCCGGGCCGAGGACCGAGAAAAATAGGATAATGGTTGACGAAGAAAGAGCGCATAGAATTTAGCGGAGAATTCAGATATTCGTATTGTATCAAGCCAAATTTGAAATTTTTCGTCGCACCATCAAAATTCGCCACAGATCTGTGTTGCGCGCGCAATGCGTGCGGCGCCAACTGGTTTATATATTCCACCACTGTATAACTTCGTATAATGTGTGTGCCACGAAGTTCCAGGAATGTTTAAATTGAATGAGATGCGTTGAAGCATTTTTCCTCCTACTATCTCTTAAAAAAACCCTACGGACGGCAGTGGAGTAAGAAAATAGGGCGCAATGTGGCTCAG